CCCCGTCGCCAAAAAAATTTCGGTCAGTGTACCATTTTAGGGGTTAAAAATTTTTTTCGGACATATCCAAATTTTTCCGGACATCAGCAATTTTCCCCATTTATCTAAATTTTTTTTTCTAAAAACAAAAAATTTTCCATAATTTTCTAAAATTTTTGTCAATTAACCACTTTTTTTCCAAATTCACACTTTTTTTTGTAATAAAGTCTTATTCAACCAAGAAATGAAATTTAACAAGTCACTTAATTAAAAAAGAGTGCAAGTATCGAACGATACCACGTCAGTAATCGATACCGATACCGCTGTTTGTGGTATCGCTGGTATCGAATACTGAGTACTCGGTATCGGCCATCACTATAACCTACGACTGTGCCTACGACATCTCTGTAACTCATATAGATGGTACAATAATACGCAACGCACGCCTTTGGACTTTCTCAATCAATATCATCGCTTAAATATATTCTTGAATAATAATTATTAAAATTGCATGTTAAGTTTGGAGTTTAGCAGACTCAGTGAAATTTACCAAATTTCAGTATGAAAAGCAGTAGAAAATGAATTTCATCAGTTGTGTTTACTTGCCATAACATATGAAACAATTCAAATAAAATACAAAACAAGTGAAACTCCAAAAGTCGATAACATTTTTATTTATCTACGTTTCGACTATATTTCAGTCATCATCAGGATAAACTAGCTAGGTTATACATCAAAAGAAGTATTTATATGAAGAAATATGATACAGTCATTAGGTTGATTATTAACGAATTAATTAAATATGATTAGTTCTTTAGAAGCTTTAAGTCCATGATTAAGTTCAGGTTTATATCTTTGAATAGCGAGGGATTCTTGATACAGCAAAAGGGACCAATGGTTAGATTTATCAATAACTTTAGTATTGTGGAAAACATGTTCAGCCATTATACTCGTTTGATTAGACTTTGCGTCATCGTCGGGATATAGTTCTAAAAGGGCTTTAATATGTTGAAACTGTTCGCAAGTAGAGAGGTGTTGATGGATTACAGATTCAGTGTGATATGAATGTTCCTTAGTTCTGGTGTATAAGCAGCGGTCAGTTTTGCCGATGTACCTACTATTACATCCAGGGCAAGTAAATTCATAGACGACAGAGCTTTGATAAGTTTTCGGGGTTTTATCTTTGCATGACACAAATACGTTGCTGTTAATGGTTTTCCAGTTAATAATGAATCGGCATTTTAATATGA